AAATACAAAGAACTGACTTAATTTGGCCTAGAGTATTCTCAATATACATAGTGAAAATTCTTTAAACGGCTTTCAACAGCTGATAGTTTTCAAATTTACATGTTTTGTAATTTTGTCACAAACATGCTGTGATTAATAAGTTTATAAAGACTTGCAACAACATTCTTGAATCTGATTAAAATGGGTGTTGCAGCACTTTTACTACAACGATCAGTATTTGAGTATTATAAATTATCAAATTTTAATCTAATGTAGTTATTGCTTTGAAATAAATTAACCCAGAGTTTTTACTATTACTATGATAAAAATCATATTGTCATGAATTCATATTGTAAATTTTTGGTTTTCGAAAACCAAGTTCAATTTTAGTTAGAGTCAAAATATACCGATTTGAAGTTTAAAGGAACTTGTTAACATGTAATGATTTCCAATATTTCCTATTTAATGCTGTTTTATACTGAATATTACATAGACTAAAACTACAAATGGACAAAACCTCTAAGCCAACAGGAAATGGACAAAATGTCTAATTTGACTTAACTTGGACATAACTTCTTCCGAGTTATGAATTCCTCACTAGAACGGCTAACTTGGAATTTCAGTTTCATATTATTCCTAAGTTATTCAATATTAAATAAAGTCTGGTAGACACATTAAAATTTCATCGATGTCATTTCGAATTTAGAATTTTCAAAAAATTTTCTGAGAAGAAACTTTTGAGGTTTTTCATAACATTTCTGCACTATTTGCATACAAACATGTGCCATCTTATAAAAAATAATTATCAAGTTTTCTTGTTATCATTATTCTTATTTTATTCCTAGGTCAATATGTTACAAATTATTTTTGAAATTTGTGAAACCTGGAATATCATGAAACTCCTTTGATCTTAATATAATATATAAGAAATGAGAAGATAACAAAACATTTAATATCCAATAATGAACAGATTTTCAAATTATTGTCTCTGGAAATCAGTTTATTCAACCACTGTTAATTTTTTGAAATAAAATAATTTGATTTATTTTCTATTTATTGCTAATTCAGCAATTATATGTAATTTATGAGTAATTTTGTTAGTTTGATATTACTTAATGACTTCATTATTATTTCATTATACACTTTGATATATTAATATATATTCGCTAAAATGGACATAGATCAATCATATTACCAAATACACCAAAGACAGTAATTAGCAATAAAAAGAATCAACTATATAACAGATTTGTAATGATTAAGCTTATGGTATTTAAAAATAATTACTATTCTAATGAAATATTAAAATTGGGTAATTTTTAAATTTAGAAACAAAAGTTTTCATACATATTTTCATTGTTTATATGTTTAATAAATATTATTTATTATTTCCTGCCAAATGAATTTGAAAAATTTAAATTGATCTAGATTGTGGACTCATTAAAACTTAAGGAGTTATTTTGGATTGTTAATAATAACATAGAGCATCTCATTTAACACATCCTTTTTCATTTAATTTAAAATCTATAATTTTGAAGTAAAATGGTGGTAGAAGTGTGTTTCTCTTGTGTTTAAATAACAATTATGTTAAGACTTGAAATCTACAGTATTATGGAAATTTTGCCTGATATGTAAGGAGACTCTTAGTTAGCTAATTATTCAATTGTCATGTCATGCACCAAATTATTCAACATCAGAATAAATTCTTACTGCAAAACTCTTTCAACAAATAATTGCTAAAAGTAGTATTTCCTTTCAGTTTATATTAATATGAGATCTTAAGATATCCAATATGCCTATGTAAGGAAACTTTGAATTTTATAGAAATTTTCTGCAAACCTTTTCCAATTACCATTCTATGCGAATAAGTAAAATGATTGTCAGAAAATCATCTCTATTGCTTTTCCGCCCAACTATTGATGGTAGTGTTTCAGTTTCAGCTTTGCTTGAATCATGGTGGTGTTATATTTTTAAATGTCCACAGGATTATGAAAATTAATCCCAATATTAACCGAACTATTTACATGTTGCACAAAACTTACAAAGCATATGCTGAAGTAAAACTATTGTATTGTATCTTTTAATCACCATTCTTTGAGAATAACTGAAATAATAGTCGAAAAATTGTTTTATTGGCTTTACACAAAACTTGGTTATTGCAGCATGGGTTTGTTAGAGTCCTTTTGGTTGGTTGTATTTGTTGAAATGTCCATACCATAGGATTGTTGAAATGTCCATAGGATTATGAAAATTGTTCCCTATTTTCATATTGCTAATCCCATTATGTACTGAAGTAATGGCAAAGCATTGTATTATTATTAATCTTATCATGATTTAATACAAAATCATATATATTCAAGTTAATTCAACTCACAAAACCAGATTAAAATGAATAGTCCTAGTCCATGAAATGATCAAGACTTGAATAACCAAACAATATCACCAAATCACAATAGAAGCTGTTTTCTCAAAACGCCTACACTTTCTCACACAAGTTAACAGTGTTCTGTTGGTAAATTGAGACAGGGAGTAAGTATCCATTACATTGTAAGCTTGTTGATAGAATTGTTTATTATGTTTAGTTTAATATATTTTCCCACACCCAAGTTGCCTCCTACCTAAGATTAAATTGCTTTTAGCAAAACAATATATTAGCAAGTTTGGTTTTAATTGAGCAATAATTATTCCAACTAGATTTTCAATAGGTTGGAATTGGATTGAAAAAGCAGTTCGATAAAATTAAATAAAAATTTGGAAGGTCTTATACTCTTATAGAATACCAATTGCTGCAAATAAATTCTGATTAACAGAGTTTCCCATTAATTAAAACTTACTTATCCTTGTATGGAACATTATTTAAGCTTTTATTTGCTTTCCTGATTAATCAGTTTCTTTTTATTTTATAACATAAGAGGCTGGTGTCAAAATATACAATACTTACATTGATGTAGTTTGCTATGATGTACAGACATTTTAGGTCACTGGCCTATATTGGTAATTCATTTGATTTTTAGTGTTCTATTCCAATTACAAAGCAATAAAATGAACATTGGCATTTTGTCCATTCTTGATGCTTGGGTCAGTTCTTATCTTATTTGCATTAGTCATAGAATCAAGAGACACCATATAAATAGTTTTAACTTAACTTGAGTTTAATCTACGAATATCATTTCTGGACCAGGTAGAATATTCCCAGAACAACATGACTCCGATTATGCTGCTTAAAAACTTTATAAATGTGATTAAATAAAGTCATTTTACTTCTTACATCAATTTATTCATGTCAAATCATTTTATAACATTAGAATTTAATCCCCATTACAAAATTCACAATGGAAAGTAGTTTAAGAAGCTACTGATTAGTGATATTATGAAACAATAACATCAATTACAAACAACTATTGTTAAACCATAATGCCATTGTCTGATAAAAGAATACTGAATCATGAGATAAGTCAAAACACAGTGATGTTTCGCTATAAAGAAATAGACGCACAAATTCTGAAATGAAATTTGAAATAGTTTTCGATTTCATGATAATAATTCGTGTCTTAATGTGATGTATTTGCATGTTATGTAGAAGCTCATAAGGGTATATGTTAAAATTTATTCTAAAGTCAGCATTTCTTCTTAATTTTGAACAATTTTAACTGTATTGTAATTGCCCTATGCTGCATTTTAAATTTTAAATTATATAATCCTTTTTATCCTCAACACGAAGTACAAGTGTCTTTCAGAAAATGAATATAACTATCAATGTTATCACAAGAGCTTCGAAAAGGCTTCAAACTAAATTAATTCGTGTCACTGATTGGACTTTTTATATCTTATTTTAGTTTCCTCATTGAGCTGGACACTGTTGGCATTACTGACTACACAACAACGCAACCCTGGCTGGAACAGTGGTAGCAAACGTTGGGCTCGCAAGTTGTCAATCAAATTCTCCTCTTTCTACTGGACTGTCCGTCACAATACCTCCCATAGCATCGTCAGCTCAACAGGGTGCGGGCGGCTCTAGCTCTGGAGGCCCGTCACCCACTAGTGATGGATCCCAAGGATCTAGGTATGTTCGAATAAATTGATGTTTCACAACTGTGGATTTAAGAAATGTTCCAAATCACTATGGAGAACTTTGAGTTGTGGCTCTGATTTTTGTTACTGAGATAACAGAATACAACTGTGAAAACTGTGGCACTGCTAAATGTTATTTTCTCTCTTTTGAAAATGTTCGAGATAGTAATAAGATAGTATTATAATGTTGACTCTGGAATGCATGTATATGGTTTTGAAATTCCTTCAATATTATAAGTAAATACTGGATATTTGCATTTGGCAGACCTGTATAGCTAGCTTGATTATGAACAATTTCATGTTGTGTGCTTATACACTCATGCTCTGACTAAATATCTAGATAAGCATCTAATAATACCAATTGTTAAATGACCAAAAGATACTACATTTCATTTATAATACTAAAAAAAAACAAAGACTTTGAGTTAATTGAGAATAAGGCTCTACTTCTGAGATAACAAAACACAAGAACACAACTATGAAAACTATGTCATTGCCAAATGTTTTCTCTGTGTAAATATGTGGGTAGTAGTGATTTTCAGTGATTCAATTTCAAACTAGTTCCATATTTAGTTCCACATACATAATCAACATAAAATGTTAGACGTAATTAACTTCACATTCCTGTAGAACTAACTCTCTGATCAATGATTAGGTTCTGGTAGTGTTATTCTTATTTGATGACTTTTTACACTTTTTATGAAGTGTTTTTATCATTCTGAACATGACTTTAGGCAAGCACCACCAGGCTAGCCAAGCATACATGAAGCACTACTACTTTTGAAATGAATATATACTACTTGAATACTATCTAAAACAGCAAATATGTAGAATTACAGAGATTTTGTCAAAGATTTTTGACATCTTCATTTTCTATTTAGTGGTTAAAAAAAGCCTATGGGTGCTGTTGATATTTGATATTTCTATTCTATAGCGGATTGAAAGGAGAGTTGGTGGACAATGATGCAGAAGGGGTTTGGAGCCCTGATATTGAACAAAGTTTTCAAGAAGCTTTAGCTATTTATCCACCCTGCGGAAGAAGGAAAATTATACTTTCAGATGAAGGGAAAATGTATGGTGAGTCCACATAATAAAAATAAAAAGAATCTTCTAAGTTGGATATTTACTAATGTGAAAATTAAAACATCCTACTCCAATCTATTTAATGGTGACTAAAGAAATGGATGACTTGTCCCATAAGTTTAAGTTTTTCAGTTTTAATAGAATCAAATAGTAGAATAATTTGTTTAACAAACTTGTTTAAAAAGAGAAGATGCAGATCCTCACAAAAATATAGTTGTGCTTGTGCATTAGTAACTGTCTATTCAATGTTTTCTTGAATATGCGGTTTGTGAAACGCCCTATAAGTAAGTGCTGTATAGTATAAATTCGCAATGTAATTGTATCAGATATAAAGTGGAATTCGTTGGTTGAATGCTAATGGTTTTATATAAAGTTATCTCACTTTTGCGATAAGAGACATAAATTTTCTTATGATTATCTGATAATTACTTATCTTTATATACTTATTACAATCTGGACTATAATTTGGCAATAATTGGCTGTATTTTGGGAAATGAAGTGATCCAGCCCACCTCTTCACGCACCCAATTCTAGAAACTTTGGTTGGGCATTTTTAGCATTTGACTATAAACAGCTTGGCAATATATTTTTCATGAATATTTTTCTGTACTGTTCACTCCCATTTATAAAATCGATCAATTCGGCAGTGACACACTCACACACATTATAAAATTATTGATATGGTGCGGCAAGTAATTTTTATTACTTATCGATCTTAAGATCGGTAAGTATATTGATAGGTATTTGTATGTCTGTGTGTGTGTGTGTGTGTGTGTCTGTTAGATGAACGCGATATCTCACGAACGCGTGGTTGAATCTGCTCCAAATTTTGCATGTGCATGCACCTTACCTCGGACCAGACGCCTATCGATTTTGGGTTAATTATGTCGTATAATTAGCGAGTTATTAACTAATTACCTATCTAAGATCGATAAGTCTTCGGTCTCCGACCGATATTCTCGTTTATTTATTCATTTCTTTTACTACCAGTATGTAATTTATCAGGTTCTTCTTACTTTATAACTTCTCCATGGTTGTGTGTGCGGGTGCGTGTGAGCGTGTGTGAAATATTTCAATTATTTTAGGTGAGTGAACACGTACCGCTTTTTTTTGCCAAAACCTTCCATTTTATATACATTCTGTACGTTTTAAACCTTATCTAAGGTTTTGTTTGCTCTCCTGATTCCATAATCAGTTTTTATTATTTGTTTTTACAAATCATTTTATTATTGTGCTGATTATGGAGTCGAAATAAACTTATACTTATACTTATAAACCATTGTCTATAGATAGTTATTTATTTTTGATACTTGAGTAAACATAATAACTCATTATTAATTTCATCCGAGATAAAATAATTTAAATTTTGCACAGATCAATCAAATATACAACCCGAATGCCATTTCTTGGTTACTCTTCTGTCATAATTTTCGTTGGATACTTTGTGCCTATAGAGGTTACATGCTTTCGCTAAGAGTAGAGTTACAGACAACCACTGAAAAGTCAGAAACAACCAGAAACTATTTTAAAATTATATCAGGTACCAGCAAAAACCGTAATGTTAGGAAATATGAATATAATGTTATGAGAGAATTTCAGGTTACATCAGAAAATTGTCAGATTGGTACTATGAATAGCATTTTTGAACGATTTTAATTAGTCATCTGTGGGAAATTAGTGAAGTAATATAATAAAAATATTTATGTTATGGAAATATGGAATGTCAATAATTTGAGTAAACGGCAACGAATGTTCTAAATACATATCTATGTAGTATATATATAAGCATTTGTACCTAGGAACTGCATGATAAAAAGTAGTTTTCAATATGTTTGAACTTTTTGAAGGGAATTTATTGTTCCAAAGAACACATTCTCATAAAATTAAAAATGTGATGCCCTAGTACATTTTGAACATACAGGCATTTCTTGAATTATGTTAATGCCTACAGGTGTCAATAAATATCTAATTATTTAATATGTCAGTGATTAGTTTTATCACTTCTAACGTTTCTGGTTTATGGCCATCAATATTTATTACTTTTGACAATTGTATTTCCACATTTTTATTTGATTTTTATTGCTAGGTTATTTTCAAATGGATTTATTCATTTTATTGGTTTATATTAGAGTCTTTGTACACAAAAAACAAAAGAGTTGTGTATATTTAAAAACACTAGATTCCATTGAATGCCCTTTTGACTACTGTAGGATTTGAAATAATAATCCACTGGAGGAGTATATAATCGCGTAACAATTCGGCAAACCAAGGATTCAGATTCAGATATTTGTTTACATCATAAAATATCAATGTAAAGCAACAATACAAACTGACAAATAACATAGACTCTAGTATTTTATGATGTTTTTCCAAATTTCCAAAATTGTTATATACATATATTATAAGATTGTTTTGGTGGGTCATTTCCTTATGTCATGGAAATTATAATAATTAATAATTAAAAGTTTTTGTAATTATTAAATTTATTCATCAATCTGAATCAGCGTTGTAGGTGTCGCTGATTGAAGACCTTTCGCGAGGTCCCTCGCGACTCCTGTCACACAATTAGAGTTAGTCTTATTTGTTTGCTTTAGAGTTGCAATATTTCGATTTTATATTGTGTTGACAAATAAATGATGATTGTTGATTGGTTGGTCGCGAGAAACTCAGTGAGTCAGTGACATCTTGATGATGACTTACAGCAGCAAATATAGCTTGTTCGTTTACTATTGTGGTGTGGTATGGAAATATCTGTAGAGTTAACGTTCAATTTGCAAGCCAGCAACGTTTTACATCATACGACCTGTCGAGTACAAATTAATAATGCTGCAAAGCCTTGTACAGTTAATGGTTTTATGATATGACCATCAATTTCTCAAGTATCTCTGACGAAACACTCCAACGAGGTGTGTCGATGGACGATCATAATACGTGAAATGATATGTCTTGTGTAGACATGAACGGAAACGTCGGAAGCTAATATTAAAGTTGTGATATTCTCATTATAAGATTGATAAAATGTATGGAACTGGAAAATATTTAAATTTGAAAAGACTGAAACTTTCCAGGTAGTTCTTCAGTTTCGCACTCCGCATATAATAATGTGTAACTGTTATATGTAAATGTATTGCTGGATTATTGAAATTTAGTTCGTTTCATTTTAATCGGAGTCTACAGACTTCATGTTACCTATAACGTTAAGCAGAGTTTCAAAGACTTCAGTTGAAATTAATGGATTACCCTATAAATACTGATAAGAGTAACCTGTTTCACTAGTTGTTGATGGCATGTTACAGGGCAATCAGTTCCTCTTTAATAAATAGACTGGAAACTCAACTAGCATTCATATACACGCAATCAACTGAACATTTCGTCCAATTCAATTTCGGAGTAAATAAGATATAAACAGACACAAGTATTACGGAAACGACGTGAAAGACAAAATCGCGTGTACAACCTACGACAAAAGCTTACGATCGTGCTAAGACAGGAAGACGTTTTTCCTCACGGAAACCGACTTGGTAACTTGAATCAATTAGAAACTCAGCCAAAGTTCAATACGGTGAAAGCGATATAAAATAGTCGGATAAAATTATATAATTCAACGCAGATTATACATGGTGTCCAATATTCGTAAAGTCTCTTTACAATTTCAATTTTGTTGTATGAAGTCAGTTCTCAATATATCTTAACCAGATTTTTTTTTTCAGTAATTGATCAAGTATTTTAACTTCATTCAATACATCTGTGAGAGCCAAAACAATATATAGTATCGATAAATTCCCTTTGCAGTTTTGAAAAGGAACGAAACAAATGTTCAACAAGTTAATCTCCGACAAAAGCTTCTTCTTGGGCTTATCCTTGAAGGTTGGGGTCTTTGTGTGGATTGGCCTTGTGTGATACTATCAAATATTCAATAAAAGACTAAAGTATTGTATAGGCTGCAAGGGATGGGACACCATCAACACGGGCTATGGAAGATCAGAAACTAATGATTTTTATCTATTAAACCATGAATAACAAATTCGAAAACCTTGCGAACATTAGTGTGAAAAGTGGGAACTACTAATATCAAGAAAACGCCAAGTGATTTCTATGTACACCTTCATGGTTATGGAATAGCATAGAATATTATTCCTTTTTCACGATAATATCAATACTAAATCGCGTATGCTGGGCGCACAGAATACGCTCCGAGCCTCCGACATTTACTATATTTGCGCTCTGTCATATATGACGTATGGCGTTTTGTACACACGAGTGATGCGTACTCGTGTATGTTTGGTTATGTATAAATTCACATCGCAAATAAGTTACAGTCGAGTAAAGTCCAAACCGACCAGATTTCGCCACAAAACCAAGTTGAAACTCGATCTAGCGTTTATTCTTTCTCACCGCAAAACCAGTTGTAAAATCGCTACTGGAAATTAAACCCACAGTTGTCGTCTATCGCAGTAAACTATTGGTTTCCAGATCATAAAAGATGCAGTTACCTTGCCAAACAAAAGAAAATTTCCCACTCTCATTTTTATGACCCAACTGGAGCAACTGCTGATCTCTTAAAACGAAGATGACATCACATTAAACAGAAAATTCATTAATATGTTCTATATTACTTTTTCACTACTAAATCGAAGTGTATAAAACTCAAAATTGCTTTGTCGGCGTAACTTTACGAACACTGGTCGTATAAAACAGACAGTTAGGGATTCAATTATATTTTCTTTATGTAAATGCTTTTTATGTCACTTTATCCTCGATATATTGACCAATTACCTTGACAACCTAACTTTACGAACATTGGTCGTACAAAAAGGACAGTGCGCGTTTAAATTGATGTTTCCTTCGCTTATATCCCTCCGATAAATTACCCCTTTACCTTCTTGTTAAACTCAAATCAAACAATTACCATTTCATGCGGAACGTTTTCCGGCAGCTTGTTCATGGCTGTCACCATCTCATCAACACCTTGTTTCATTTAGGATAGAGTTTAT